CTTCAGAGTACCAAGACAGCAGCCAGAGGCTAGGGATATAGCTGGATGGTAGAACACTTGCCTAGCATGCATTAGACCCTGGGTTCAACCCCCAGTACAATACAAAGTAAAAATGACTAAAAAGCAAGCACAGAGCAAGCATGGTGGCTAACAGCTATAATCCTAGAAGTTGGGAGGTGAAGGCAGGAGGATCAGAAGTTCATCCTAAGACTACATAGCTAGTTTAAGGCCAGCCTGAGCCACATGACACACTGTTTCAATTAATCAATACCCCAAAAAATAAGTAAATGGAATACAGTAGTTTCTTTAAAAGAAACATTTATATAATACATAAAGAAACCACATTATATTGGCCAGGAAATATATTAACAAAAAGCTGATTGTATATGAGCAAAAATATTTAGACCACACATAATGGTTTGGATATACTAAAATCAGACAGACCATATTTAAAGAAAAGAGCTTTAAATTGGTTCAGCTAAGAGCACCTGAGTTTGACTGTAAGCAACACACAGCAGCTCACAACCATCTGTAACTCCACCCACATCAAGGATCAGACACTCCTTTCTAGACTCTGCAGATATACACACAAGTGGCACACAAATATAAACACAGGCCAAATACCCATACAAATAAAATTGTTTTTAAAGAGCTCCAAGGAGGGGCTAGAGAGATGGCTCAGGGGTTAAGAGCACTGTCCTTTCTTCCAGAGGTCCTGAGTTCAATTCCCAGCAACCACATGGTGGCTCCCAACCATCTGTAATGTAGTCTGGTGCCCTTTCCTGGACTGCAGGGATATATGCAGGCAGAACACTGTGTACAAAATAAATAAATAAATAAATAAATAAATAAATAAATCTTAAAAAAAAAAAAAAAAGAAGAAGAGCTCCAAGGAAATAAAGTCACCTAATATACAGGCAAAGTTCACACAAATTCATGAAGAAACAGACAACTTCTACAATCATAATGAGAAATAGCTTCAGTTGTCTTACTAACTCATAAAACAGAGAATCAAATTTAGAGTCTGGTGCATACCAAACAGTGTTCTTTATTTTTTCTTTTTCCTGAGACAGCATTTCTCTGTATAGCTCTGGCTACCCTAGAACTCTTTGGGTATATAACTGTTATGGCTACGAGGAGTATCTTGTGATGTGGGTGTCTAATTGGTGGTGTTGGAAGTTTTGATGGTAGGTATTCTGATAAAGATAGGGGTTATATATGTAATGAGTTATTATAATGGAGTTGAAATGGTAGAATTTAATAATATAAGTGATTAGGTGATTGATGAGAGTGATGAGATTGAATTAATGGGGGAAGCGGGTGTAGTAGTTGCAGCAATATATAGTTGTGCTACTTGGTTAATGATAATGACTGGGGAGTCTTTATGAGTAATAAAGCTCAAGAGAGGATTAAATAAATGTTAAGAGGATGGGAATTGATAGGAGTGTGATTAGGAAAGACAGGAAGTATAGTTTAATCATGTCTTTTTGGTTGGCTAATGTTTTGGAGATAGAAGTATGGTTAGTTGATCTGGTTTTAGGGATAGCTTTTTCAAGTCAAATTAGGTCTAAGAGGTTTAGGGAATGTGTTGAAGCTTATTGTTAAGGTTTTGACAAGTAAGACTCAGTACATAAGTTAGGGGGCGGGCAGCCTAGCGATGCTGAGAAAACTGAGGGTGAGGTTGATTTACTTGGGGTGATGTGGAAAGTCAGGTTAATGGATTCTGTAAGGATTCAGACATTATGCTGGCCTGTCCCTGTCACCTGGCAGAATGCACTCAGGCAGTACCCTGGTCAGCCCAGGTGCAAAGGATCCCTTTAAAAGAAAGACCTCGCCGGGCGATGGTGGCGCACACCTTTAATCCCAGCACTCGGGAGGCAGAGGCAGGCGGATCTCTGTGAGTTCGAGACCAGCCTGGTCTACAAGAGTTAGTTCCAGGTCAGCCTCAAAAGCCACAGAGAAACCCTGTCTGGGGGGGTGGGGGGGCACGGACCTCCACCCACTTAAACGCTCTCTTTCTGCTCTTCTCTTTCCGAACTCTTTCCTGCTGTTCCCCTGGGGTAAAAAGGACTTTTCCTGTCTCCCTCTGTCTCGGTCTCTTTACCTCTTTTCTCTTTCCTTCCTCACTTTTTTTTTTTTTTTTTTTTTTTTTTTTTTTGAGGTAGGGTTTCTCTGTGGCTTTGGAGGCTGTCCTGGAACTAGCTCTTATAGACCAGGCTAGTCTCGAACTCAGAGATGAGCCTGCCTCTGCCTCCCAGGTGCTGGGATTAAAAGTGTTCGCCACCACCACCCAGCTTCCCTCCCCTTTCTAATAAAACTTCTCACTTGAGCTCTGTCTGCCTGGCACGTTTGTCCCCTACCTACCTGAGGAAATAGCTCAGTTGGTAAAGGGCTTGACTTGCAAGCATGAGGATCTGAGATGAATCTCCAGATCTCATTTAAAAAACAGCTAGGTATGGTAGGCACATGCTTTTAATCCCAGCAACTCAGGAGGCAGAAGCATGTGTGAGGCCAGCTTGGTCTATATAATGAGACAGTGTCTCACCAGCTCCCTAAAGAAAAAGAAACAAAAACAAAAAGACTAAACTAAAGGGACAGGGAGAGTCAGGCAAGGGACACTAGGCCAAAGTCTGATGATGTGAGTTTGATCTTCTAAACCTAGACTGTAGAAAGAGAAAACCAACTCCCATAAGTTGTCCTCCGACTTCTATATACATCCTGCGATGTGTGTGTGTGCTTGAGTGTGGTGTATGTAAAAATGGTATGGTGGCACACATATGTAATTCCAAAACTGGAGACATGGGGACAGACAGATCACTGCAATCCAGCCTAGCCTACTTGGTAAGTTCCAGCCCGGTTAGTGATCATGCCGCAAAAAAAGATGAATGGCACATGAGGAATGACATCCATCCAGGATTGTCTTCTGGCCCCCACATGTATGCACACACAGAGAAAAGCATGTGTGCTCACATACACTCACAGAGAAAATATAATAATAAAACTGTGCTATTTACTAATAACAATAAATTATCTACAATAAGCAAGACAATATAAATAAATCTCACAAGGGTAACACTTAACAAAAGTAGCCAAACACAGCAATTCATATTGCATAATTCCTCTCATGGATAGCAGCTACGCCTGGTGGCCGAGAAGGGCTAATAAAGTAGTAAGGGATACATACATTGGTGACGTTTTAGGGCTAGTAATGTTTGGTTTCTTATGCTGGTACAATTTTTGAAAACTATGGACTATTATAGTATGTATATTCTTCTGAAAACAGAAATCATTTTTAAAAATTAAGGATATAACAAACTTTGTATATGGAGGGGAAGGAAGGAATTACAGGGAGGGTAACTGAGAGACAGTCAGTTACAAATTGTAAGACTTAAACATCAATGGGTAGAGAGATAGCTAAAAGGGCAGAAGCACTTGCCATGCAAGCATGACGACCTGAAACCAAATCCTCAATACCCACAAAAACGTACACAGGTAAGGAGCTTCTGTTATCCCAGTACATAGAGATGAAAAGCAGGGACAGAATATCCAGAAGCTTCCAGCCAAATGACCTGGTACTCATAGTACTGGCAAGATCCTATCTCAAACAAGGTTTTGGTCTGTGGCAAATGCATGCCTACATTAATGAGCACATGCATGTGCGCGCGCGCATGCGTGTGCACACACACACACACACACACACACACACACACACACACACACACACACGCATATGTACACACATACATGAATTAAAGCAAGATTGGAGACAAAGGGACCAGGTATGAGGAAATGCTATTTTAGAGAAGCTGGGCAGGGGAGGCTACTCTGTTAAGGTCATTTTTGAGCAATATCCTGTTGAAGAGGTTGCTGATAATCTGTCTAAGAAGTTCTGGAAAAGAGAACAGCAATACAAAGGCCCTCAGCAGAAGAAAGCTTCACAGTGCTCAAGAAAGTCTGCATGACTGTTGCTGTATGGGAGACAGGTAGGCAGGAATAAAGAGCAGGCAGGGGCTATTAGGCCATGTAGGCACTTTATTACAGAAAGCCATTCAGTTTTGCAGAGGACTGGCAGAATGCACCTTTACTGTTTAAATCACTTGAGCCTCAAAACTACATGAAACAAAGTTAAAGCCATACTGTAGCCTGAATCCAGGGCCTTGCAAATTCTAGGCAAGCACTTTACTATTAACTTGCATCCCAACCTCTTTTTTTTTTTTTTTTAACTTAATGTTTACTTTATCCCAACTCCTCAGATCCCACATAAAAACAGATTGGTCACATTATGGGCAGATAAATGGCAACAAATTATTTAAAGGTGCTAGAGGAAAATTAATATAAAACCCTACATTAGCTATCTCAGAAGTGCCAACATCAACACTGCTGACTTTTAGATGAGATAACCCTTGCCTCACAGGCTGTGCTAACCCAGCTATAGGATGTTTACAGCATCCCTAGCCTCTGGCCTCCTATGCTTCCCATGCCCTAGTTGTAACAACCAAAATGATTCCAGACACTGACAAATGTCTCCTGGCTGAAAACTACCAACTAATGTATAATGTTTTTAAAACCTTGAAACACCACTGAAAGGATGAAAACAAACCAATCTCACATACATCACAGCATCAAGTTTTCTACCACATGAGTGAGTAAGCCTAAAAGATCTGAATATCAGAAGCTGATTACATTTTTTAAAGGAAGGAAAGAAATTCAAATTTAGCAAAGGTTTAGAACCCAATGTTTGGCTTGGAATGGCTTCCTTGACAGACTAGTGAACTAGACAGGCTTAAAGGCAATTTAAGAATCAAAGAATGGACTAGCTATTATACAGAGATAATTTACTAATAAAAGATGTGAATCTAGTAAGTGGTTTATAGGCAACAGTATGAAGTTTACTCCCTCATGCCTCATGCCCCATGGGTAATTAATGGAAGAACGACGGTGTTCCTGAGCTGCTGGTCTCCTATATAACAGGTGTCAAATTTCTCCAGGTGAATGCTTACCGGTAAGGGATTGGATAAGGAATGTTGCGGTGAGGATCGTGCAACTGGTGGAACACTTCTGCCAGGGCTGGTTCCTGGCCCGCTTCCCCCAGCAAACTGGCCAACAGGGAAAAATGGATATGAATAATTCAAAGCAGCACCATGCTTCAGAGAAGGAGAGGAAAAGATTAATATACAAACAGGTCTCAATTATACATGGCCTCTTTAAGTCAATGCATCTCACTCTAGAGAAAATGTGCCATGTAAGCCAAATCTATGTTTTCAATAAGATTTTTGAGAAAGAACTCCCAAAGAAATGTAACAAGATATACAGAAAACGTGGATAGAAAGCTGAAAGTAAGCATGGTTTGGACAGACATGAGAGAAGAATGCCTTTATTTTTTCTTGGTCTCAAAATACATGAAGCAGAAGTAGAGTAGTGCAGAGGGTGTTAGTCATCTTTAGTAACCACTTAACAATGAGTCGCTGAGCTCATGACATATTCCACTAGGCTAAGGGAAAGGACCAAAGGAGAATCAAGCCATTATACCATAGTCACTGAGACACAAAACCTAGTCTGGCCAAGAGAAAGTGCACTTCGTACATGAATTCTTATATTATCACAGACAAGACACATGATACAAAATTCACACCTAGTAAATCAGCAGCCGTTCCTTCTTATTACGAGATGGGCAGCATTAGTTTGATGAAGATGGAAAGAGAAAAGGCAAGATCACAGTAAAGGCAATTATTTGCTCTCTAATGCCTTAAATGAACAGGATTATTAGGTTGTTTAAAGTCACTGGAGGTTGTTTATTTACCCCCAAATTTAACTTACCTCAAAGTAATCACTAATTTTATGTCCCCTAGGAGTGCCTTTCCCTGAAAATGAAACCAAAGTAAGTACAGTTTTTCCAATGTACATGTAAACCATCATCACTGAAATGCATTAAGTAGTAAAAGCTCAGTAACTGATCACAATGCTGTCAACTCAAGTGTCAGCTTTACTTTTAACAAGCCACACAAAACCTATACACTACGGTTACTATACCTCCTCCTCCTATATCAAGTGACTGAATGAGCACTGATGGAGACAATTTTTTAGCTTGTTTTAAAATGCAAAACTTTCTTTTATACATATTTATATATAACAAAATCAGGAAACAAAATTCATCTGTAACCCACATCCCAATTTAAGAGACCAAGATTCAAAACAAATGCATTAGAACTAAAGAACTGATCTCATTTCACATAATCCTGTCACTTTGGGAGACTTCCCTTACACCAGACAGAACGACTTACCTATACATTTTTTAAAAGAAAAAAGATTGGGAATCCCAGTCCTTAGACAGGACAGGGAAAGCTAACCCTTTCCTTGAGTATATATTTAGTGATGGAACTATATCACCATTACACATTTCATCCGAGCTGTAGATGAAACCATTTCTGGCTACCATTACTACAAATCCCAAGTTATACCCCCAATGTATCCTCTTTCTCATATAATTCCTGCTTGGTCTGAAGAAAATCCGCTGGTAAGAAAATCAAATACATTGGGAAAACAAAAGTCCCAAAAGAACTGACACTGCTTTGTCAGGTGTGTATCAAATGGCAAGTCTGCAATAGCCCGATACTCCCTAAGTACATAAACCTCTGTTGTTGGGAATCCCTCTACACACACTAATTACTTATTGGGAGTTAGACAATTCCAAGTGCATAAGAACCAAGTGTTTTAGTGTGAAATGATCACTACCTTGGCTAGTTTCATATGGTTCAGCTTTTCTTTTCCGATTTCGCTGGTCATTCTGCTTTTTCTCAGGAGTCTGTTAAATATCATACATATCACAATTAGAATGCTGTTAAATTTCCACATTAGGATAACAGAGTGCATATAAAATATCAAAGATACCTAAGAGATATGACTAGCAGTATATTGATTACTCTTGGCACAAAGAAACAGGCAAAATATGGGGCCTTTAGTTAAACTGAAACAACTCAGTAGCCCATGCCTGTGATCCCACAATCAAGAAACTGCAGGCCAGGCGTTGGTGGCACACGCCTTTAATCCCAATCCCAGCACTCGGGAGGCAGAGGCAGGCGGATCTCTGTGAGTTCAAGGCCAGCCTGATCTCCAGAGTGAGTGCCAGGATAGGCTCCAAAGCTACACAGAGAAACCCTGTCTTGGAAAAAAAAAAAAAAAGAAACTGCAGCAAGATCTCAAATTCAAAACCTGTGTGAGCACATAAAAGACCTATTCTCAAACAAACAACAAAAAAGAATTTTTGAAGGACAAATGTCAATTCATACAACAAGCTCTCAAAAACTTCAAAAGTAAATAAACCTAACACTTTAAAAAGAAAGGCCAGAGGTTAAGAGCTTTGACTGCTCTTCCTAGAGGTCCTGAGTTCAATTCCCAGCAACCACATGGTGGCTCACAGCTATCTCTAATGAGATCAGGTGCCCTCTTCTGGTGTGCAGGAACAACACTGTATGCATAGTAAATAAATAAATCTTTAAAAAACAAAAAAGAAAGAAAGGCCTGACTAATTTATAGAAAGTGTCAACAGTGCAAAGTAGGACTTAAGACTTGTGCCCATATCCATGTGGGTAGGTTATCTACTTAATACTATTTTCCAGCTAAGCAGGAAAAAGGAAACCAAATTGGAAAGTGTTTCAAATGCTACTGCTAAATTAAGCCAGTGACCTACTCCTAGAGTACTGAAAAGTATTAAAATTAAAGAGTAACTAAGCTATTTTTGCTACAACTACAAATCTCTCACCTTTATTGAAAAGACTAAGCCTTCTTAACCACCCCCCTCTTCGCCCCCCCCAAAAAAAAAAAAACGGAAGTAAAATGGAGAAAGACCAGGCCTAAGTATGGTTATGACAATAAAACCATGACAGGGCCACATCAAAGCTGTATCAAGACAAGCGCACAACCCCACTAGCACGCCCTGGAATTACCTGGTGCTGCCCTTGAGCACAGACTAAAGGTATAAAAATGGGAACAGTATTGTTTAGATGTGGTTCTTACCTCTACTTCTTTATCACTCAAGGACCCCACGCTGCACAAACTCTGGTTGGAAGACTCACTGTTGAGTGGCCCCTGGAAGGACAATGTTTTTTAAATAGTCAGTTTTACTTTAAGTGACAGTAAAAGTATGCTAGAGGCCTGTTGTTCTAATGTCCAAGTCAGATTAGGAGTCAAGAGACAGCTGTTACAACCACTCCAAACCAAGCTGAAAGGGACTCAGCTACAGCACTGTGTCCTCCATGTTCCAACACTCTAGCCAATGTTATCTTCATGTGCAGGCCTTCCCTTCCTGACTATGCTCATGTGTTCTAAAGCCATTGTTTAAGAACAATAAATACAAGAAGGGTGATAGTGACACAAACCCTTAATCCCAGCACTCGGGAGGCAGAGGCAGGTGGATCTCTGTGAGTTCAAGGCCAGCCTGCTCAACAGAGTGAGTTCCAGGACAGCCAAGGGTATTACATAGAGAAACCCTGTCTCCAAACACCCCCCACAAAAGAAAACAATTATACATGTATAAGCATTAAAACAAATACTTATTGTTGTGCCCAAATCTGAACCCCAAAATCACCAAGAGACCCATTCCGATGCAAAAGCAAAGAGTCTTTTATTATTTAACAAGCTAACTATATTAACTCGGTTCCTCCCTCCATCTGACACAGTGGGTGGGGCAAGAAGGACCCGAAGGGACCTCGAGACAGAATTTATTGGATAAAGCAAGGGGAGTATCTAGGAATCTGCAACAGTTTCAGGATTGATGCACTTCCAGGCTTGGGCAACCGGTCCTGTGTTGATTGGTCAACTGGTTGCTATGGCCTATAGGACATCCCAGGGTGGTTGCTATGCTCTGCACGCCACTGTTTTGACACTGTTACCACAAAGCACATCAAGAGCCTGCCAGCTACCTTCTGATTGGTTTCTTGCCACATGGAGGTATCTGACCTCCTAGTGACTGGGGCAGGTCTGGCAAGGTCGGAAGCCTGGAAACTAAGCACCATGTGCTGAGTCACATCTTGCTGGGTCTTTTCTGCAGCCTTTCATGGCTGCTAAAGCAGGGGGCTGGGTGAGGATCTGGCCCCTTCACTTATGGCTAAATTTTATAAAGGAATCATAAACCCTACACTCTGGAAACTACAAACAAGAATTCAAAGAAATTTAAAATATACATAAGTGCTGGGTTTGATAGTGCATACCTTTAATCCCAGCTCTTGAGAGGCAGAGACAGGCAGCCCTATGTAGAGTTCCAGGCCAGCCAAGTTAGAGTGTGAGACTCTGTCTCACAACAACAGGTGATGTGATAGTGGCACATGCCTTAAATCCCAGCAACTGTAGGCAGAAGCAGGCAGATCTCTCTGAGTTCAAGGCCAGCCTGGTCTACTGAGTGAGTTCCAGGATCACCAGGGGCAGTTACATAAAGAACTCTTGTCTCAAAAAACAAATTCTCCCCCCCTCTCTCCCCCCCCATAACTGTGGGTCAGAAGACTTACATTGTTATGATAACAACATCTACCTCTAATTCACCAATTCTGTGACCCTTCTACCTAATGTTCTACTGACTTCCTTACATTAACAATTTGGGGACAGCAAGATGGCTCAGTGAGTAAAATCCTTGCTGCACAAGCCTGACAACCTAAGTTCAATCCCCAGAACCCATGAAAGAGGAAATGACTCCTAAAGATTGTCTTCTGATTTACACACACACACACACACACACACACACACCTGTCCTCATCACATTCACATTTTCACACAAACACAAATGATTAAGTTGATTCTAAAATGTATATGGAGGGGTTAAGAGTGTTGCTCAGTAGTAAAGGTTGAAGCCCTAGGTTTAATTTCTAGAACCTGATGTAAATAATAATAATAAATATATAGACAAAACAATCTGTGAAAGAACAAAGTAAGAGAGATCACATTCCCTGACACTAGACTTGCTGCAAGGCAACAGCAGCAACATGATAGTACTAATGTTAACAGATTAGTGGGTAGAACGATGACTCCAATGAAACATCTGTAACTGTGATCAACTGATTGAGAAAGGTGCTAGAACCACTCAATGAAGAAAAGCCTTTTCAGCAAACAGTGCTAGGCAAGGGCAAACCAGTTGAATTGGGCCCTTCATATCACATGTAAAAGCTCGAATATTAGGCAAGTGCTTTAAAACTGAACCACACTCCCAGCACAAATTACCTTTAATATAACTACTACAAAATCAATTTCCCCCAGGATTGCAATAAAACCACATCTACTTTGTCACCAAATATTCATCATTCTCTACAGGAAATGGTAAAGCCAGGTGTGGTGACACTCCTATAATCTCGACACTCAAGCAGCAACAACAGAAGGTCAATGAGTAGGAGATGAGCTTGGATTCCTCAGTGAGTTATAACTAATCTTGGCTACACAGAAGACTTTGTAGGTAGGAAGGAGCAGATAGGTAAAGCAATGACAGAAGGGAAGGGAGAAATGAAGTGCAGTAGTGTGAAGAAGAACCAAAGCTAACGAGGACCTCTGAGCTCCAGCCTTGGTATCCTCTCAGGGGCTAGAAGCAAGCAGACAAGACTGGCTAAAAAGACCTAAGGATGAAAGAAAACGACTTGGTGCGAGTGCACATGCGCATACACACACACACACACACACACACACACACACACACACTCTCTCTCTCTCTCTCTCTCTCTCTCTCTCTCTCTCTCTCTTTCTCTCTCTCTCTCCTCTCCTCTCATGGCTCTTCATTCTTTAAAAAAGTTTTTTCCCCTAAAGCTCTCTTTAAAAGTTTCTCTCTAAGGCTAGAGAGATGGCTCAGGGGTTAAGAGCACTAGCTGTTCTTCCACAGGACCTGAGTTCAAATCCCAGCAACCACATGGTGTCTCACAGCCTTCTCATAATGAGATCTGGTGCCCTCTTCTGGCCTACAGGCATACATACAAGCAGAACACTGTATACATAATAAATAAAAATAAATCTTAAAAAAAAGTTTCTCTCTAAAAGTTCTCTCTCAGAAAGCTCTCTTTAAGATTTCTTCTGAAAAGTTCTCCCTCATCCCACAAGGCTTCCAGTTTATATACCGACAGACACAATTAGCAATTCTCTGGCAATAGAAAGGATACCCTCTGAATCTGTAAGCAAGCCCCCAATTAAACTAATTAAATGCTTTATTTATTTATTTATTTATTTATTTATTTATTTATTTATATGAGGCAGTGTTTCTCTGTGTAGTCCTGGCTGTCCTGGAACTCTCTTTGTAGACAAGGCTGGCCTCAAACTCACAGAGATCGGCCTGCCTATGCCTTCCAGGTGCTGGGATTAAAGGAGTGTGCCATCACTGCCTGGCTTAAATGCTTTCTTATAGTTGTCATGGTCACGGTGTCTCTTCCCAGAACAATGGTTTTGAGGGGGGGCTTGGAGGGGGCTGGAGATGACAACACAAGAGAAAAAGTGGTGAATACAGATGAAAGGACTAAAGAACTTTTTTTTCAGCAATTACAATGAAGATAACTGTAGATACACAGTGGTAGACACTGTACTGTTTGAAATAGTAACACTGAAGAGAGGCAAGAAGACTTAATGTCCCTTAGGCATGTGTACATAACCAAAAGTTTAAAAAGATTAAGAATTAGTTAATCCTTTTCTCATCCTCTTCTCAAGTACAGCATCTCATATTATTATACAGTCACCAGATTAGACTTAATTAACAAGGATCACGACACACTTCCTGTTCTAAAGCAGCTTACTGTCTAGTAAAAACTAACCAAAGGCTTGCAGGCAAAACATATGTAGTAAGTTTTAAAAGTGTCACTGTCATTAAAACAACAGTAACAAAAACAAACAACATTATTAAGGACCAGTGAGACAGCTTGTCCACTGACCCCCCCCCACACACACACACACACAACTATGGAGGCAAAAACATAAACTGTATATGGATTGCATATGAAGAGATTTCCAGTAAACTTTGTGATGAAAAGGAGACAGAAAACAAGCATGAATGTTCAATGTTACCTGAAGGTGAATACTTGGGAAGCTATCCATTCTGGAATATTATACCCTTCTATTAAAAGTATATTCCTGCCAATGAAGAGATGGCTCCATGGTTAAGAGTGCTTGTTATTCTTGCAGAGGACTCAATTTCGATTCCCAGCACCCACATAGTATTTCACAGCTATCCATAAACCCAATCTGGGGAATCCAAAAGACATACATGTGATGCATACACACGCATGCAGGCACAAACACTCTTATACATAAAGCAAATCTTTCAAAAAGAAAAAAGTATTATGGATGCTTAAAGTCTGCACTGTCCTGCCAGGCTTGGTGGTGCTTGCCTTCAATACCGGCACCCAGGAAGTAGAGGTAAGCAGATCTTTGTAAATTTGAGGCCAGCCTGACCTACATAGCTAACTCCCAGCCTGCAAACAGTGAGGCCCTGTCCCAAAAGACAAAACAAACAAAACGATTGCACTACCTCTTAGAAGTGGAGCTAATACCTGTAGACATCAACTTTTACTATTTCTTGTATATTTTTTTAACTGAAAAACTTACTCTGTTGTCCATGTTTATTAATGTTTTCAAAAACAAAAGGGGGAGGGTGGAAGACCAATTGTTTTTACTTAGGAGACACTGTCTCTTGTACCCCAGGCTAGTTTAGAACTCTCTAAGGAGGTGAGGATAATTGAATTTCTGATCCACCTCTCAGGTGCTGACACTGAACCCAGGACTTTGTACATACTAGGCAAGCATTCTAACAACTCAGCTACAGCCCCAGCCCTTAGTCTACAAAATAAAAAAAAAAAGGGGGGGGACCTGGAGAGATGACTTAGCTGCTCTTCCAGAGGTCCTGAATTCAAATCCCAGTAACTACATCATGGCCCACAACTATCTACAATGGGAACTAATGCCCTCTTCTCTTCTGGTGTGCAGGCATACACAAAGAGCACACTCATAAAATGCAAAAATAAATATATAAATTAAAAATACAAGAGGGAGAAAGAGAGAAAGAGAGAGAGAATGCAAATGAGAGCACACTAGGTCTAGTGGTGCATGCCTTTAATCCCAGCACTTAGAAGGCA